TAGGTCGTGCTCAACCAGCTGAGACGCGAGCACGTGAGGTCCTTGTGGTGGCCCTCCGATTGCTGCTTCCACTGCAGCAGCAGGTACAGACAAAGAGGGACGGCCGCCGTGAGAAGTGTCACCCTCTGCCGCAGCCGCTGCAGCACCAGGAGCCCCCCTGCCAGACCGCGCTCGCGGCAAAGCAGGCGCCACGCCAGGCGCAACAATTTTCGACTCCGCTCGCGCGACCGCGAGCACCTGCAGGCGCACAGCGCAAGCAGAGGGTCTCTAGGCCTCGGGTGCACTTCATGAAAGCTACCCTGTGAAGCTGCAGCCAAAGTGCTGGGCTCTGCGCGCTGCTGCCGCAGAGCCCGAAGAATGAACAAGAAAACAAAAGGTCCATCATGCCCTCGGGCCTACGGTATAGGCACTGCAGCGCCTCACAGTGTTCGCTAAGGCGGCTCTCGCAGGCTTCAGACCAGGGTAGACAGCGACCTTAAGGGCGCCGTTGCAATGGACAGAAACCTCGCGCCGCCACTGGTCTACAATTGCTGCTGGGCAAACCAAAAGGGTTCCTTTCACCTCTGGCAGCTGGCTGCTTCTGTTGTCGCTGCTGTTGCTGCTCTTCGGATCAATGCTGCCGCTACCGCCGCCGCTTTTGGTGTTGCTGCGACTCTTGCTGCTGCTGCTCCAAGTCTTCGTTTCTTGCTGTTGTGCAACGCAAAAGGGGCAGATGAAAGGAAGGGATACAGGCGCCCCCGGGGAATCGGCAACACAAAACACATGAGAAAAGGCGAGGCAACAGCTGCATTGCACGACTGCCAGGAGCGAAACTTCTTTCCCTTGCTGCTGCTTCTGCTGCTTTCGCTGCTGCTGCTGCTGCTGCACGCTTCTCCGCGCAGGCGCATGGGGAGCCCACCGCGTCCCCCCTTTTATATTCATGGGCCCCAGCGAGTCAAGCCCACAAATGCAGCAAATCCGAGCGTCAGGCGGCATCTCATCTTCCCATCGGCAAGCTGCTCCCTGTATTGTCGCTGCTGCTGGAACTGCTTTTGCTTCTGCAGCTGGCAATGCTGCTGAGGCGGCAGCACTATGGTCTGCTGCTGCAGCTTGCTCTGGTGGTGCCGCTGCTGTTTCTGTTGCTGCAGCATGCTGTGTCGCCTCTTCCTGACCTGTAGATGATCCTTGGATCTCAGCGTCAGCAGTAGGCACACCTGCATCAAATGTTGCTGCCGCAGGTACAGCTGCTGTTTGGGGCTTAGGGTTCGCTAGAATCAGAGCTAGAACCTCTACACTCTTTCCAAGACCCATTGAGTCGCATAGTAGACCTCCTGGGACGTCAAAGCCGAGTGAGGCCTCGCTTGCCGCTGCTGCTGCTTCTGGCCCTGCTGCTGGTCCTGCTGGCGGTCCCAGGAATCCAGCAGCAACCTGACCAGTTGTGTGGTTGACCCAAACAGCAGCACCGGAAGGCAGTACGACTCGATGCCACACCAGATTAACTTGCTGCTGCATTAGCTGCTGCTGCATTAGTGCTCGCAACTGCTGCTGCTGCTGTCGTCCAAGCACCGTCTCCCACTCCCTGCCGTTTTCGCTGCTGCCAATGCGGGTGCTGCTGTTTATGTACTGCCGCCACTCCCTTGACAAGGCAAACAGGACCGCCCTCTGCTGATATGGACGCAGGCAACACTGCAGCCCCGGTGGCTTCAAGAACTCTACGCCCACAAATGGGCCAACGCGCTTGCTATCACAGCTGCAGCTGGAAATGCTTCTGCCGCTGCTCGCCGAGTGGCTGCTAGAGATACACTTGCTGCTGGAGCAGGTTCCGCTATTGCTGCTGCGGAGGTCGCTGGCGGGTTGCTGCTTGCAGCTGATGCTTTGGCTGCTGCTGCTACCGCCGTGCTTCTCTTGGAGCTGCAGTGCATGCAGGACACGCCGCTGAGAGACGAGGCTATAAATGAAAGAAGGGCTGACGAAGAAGTGGCGCAACGCTGCGCCTCCTTGTGCAGCTGCTCCTGCCGCGGCTGCTGCCGCGGCTGCTGCTGGCAGCAACGAAGTCTGACCTAACATCCGCCCGAACAACCTGCAGCAGCAACCCAACAGTATAGCCTCGCAAAAGGCAGCAGAAGTTGTACCACTAGAAGGAGCTATGAGAACCGCAGTGCCTGTACCAGTTGCATAACATGTCGTGCAGCAGGAAGCAATCAGATGAGCAGCAGCAGCTACGGCAGCAGCGGCAGCATCACCAGCACTAATAGCAACAGTAGCAACAGCAGAAGCAACAACAACAAAGGCGGCGTAGCCCTCATGACTAGGAAGGCCAGCTGTTGCAGCAGTGGCGGTTTTCTTCAGCAACAGCAGCACGGCCGCCGTCATAGGCAGCCGCAGCAGCAACAAAAGCGGCAGTAGCTGACCACTGTGCTGCTTTGACTCTGCACTCCGAGTAAAGAGGGAACACATCGCGGGGACGCCCACACCGTCTTGTCATTAGGCACAGAGAGACCTCAATCGACCACAGCCACCCTTTGTTGCTGCTGCTGCTGCTGCCAAAGGGTACTAGGCCTTCAAGAGGCTCCGCGGCAGCTGCGCTGCTCCGCTTCTTGCGCAATGAGGCCTTTCGCCTACAGCCTCTTGCTGTTGGTGCTGCAGATGCTCCTTCCTGTTCTGTTGCGGTTGCTGCTTGTGGGGCCTCGGAATCACCGGCAGAGGCAGCAACAGCAGCAACAGGTCCAGCTGCAGGTGTAGCATGGAGCAGTGCTGCGCGGAGGCAAAGGGGCAAGAGCTGCTGCTTGGCTGTTAGCAGCTGGAGCAAGTCGCAGCCCAGATTCTTCGCTGCAGCATCTGCCCGTAGAATACATGTGGCAGCGACGCGAGGAGTAGCAGCAGCAGCAGTAGTAGCTGCTGGTGCTGCTGCTGCTGCTGCTGCTGCTGCAGGTGCTGCTCCCCCTACTGCAGATGCTGCTCCCGCTGCTTCAGGAGCTGCTCTTGTTCCTGCTACTACTCTTGAGACGCTTGCTGTGTCGCTTTCATTAGCATTCGCCGTTGACTTTCCTGCTGCCTCCACTGAGCTTGTTGTGACTGCTGCTGGTGCTGCTGCGGCTGCTGCAGCTGGTGCTGCAAACGGACGCTCCGCAGCTACAAGAGAAAGGCGAAGGCGTCCGGGGCCGTTAGCCTCCAAGACAGCACCGAAAACGTTTCTGCAGCTGCAGATGTGCTGCGCTGTTGCTCCAGTCTTTGCTGCCTCTGTTGCGGCCGTGTGCGCCGCTGCTGTTCCATCCGTTGCTGCTGCGGCTGCTGTCGAATCAGTATCTGCCACTGCATCATTCGCAGCGCATGATACAGAGGCCTGACTAATTGCGTCTGCTGCAGTTGTGGCAGCTGCTGCCGCAGGTGCTGCAGAGGGAGCAGCTACTGCTGCAGGAGCTGCAGGAGCAGCTGCTACCTTTTCACTCTCCCCTGCTGCTGCAGACAACCCAGGGGCAGTAGCTGGATCACATTCTTCACGCTGCTCCAATAAACAACGCCTGAGGCGACGATAGGGAGTCCCTGACGCACTCCTAATGCTGCTGCTGCCGCTGCTGCTGCTGCTGTTGCCGCTGCCACAGCGCCAGCAAAATGCAGACGGCGGCCTCTCGGAAGCGACTTGGAGAGGGCCCCACGTGTACAGGCACTCCACGGCTCCCTCTGATGCTGCGTTTGCTGCAGCCCGCAGTAGGGCCCTTCTCTTTGCGTGCTGCTTCTGCTGCAGTTGCTCTTGCTGCTGCTGCCGCTTCGAGGATACCTTCCTGCTGCAGTCCGAGTTGCCGCTCTCCTCGCTGGAATCAATATGCTGCGCCTGGTCATGCTTCAGCAGCAGCTGCTGCAGCAGCGATCCTTTTGGCTTTCGCTGCATTTGCTGATGCTTCAGTTCAACTGCTGCTCCCGCTGATTTTGCCGACCCTCCAGAAGGATCATATTAGGCCCTTCCAGAGCTGTAGTCAGCTTTTCTATCCACTGCTGCGCAGCAGTTTCTGCTGCTGCCTTCTCCGGAGTAGTGACTGTAGCTGTGGTTATGCCTGCTGCAGTTGTCGGTGCTGTACCTGGAAAATGTCCGTAGGTTCTTCCCGCTGTCCCCATCATCACGGATCGCTGCTGTAGCCTGTTGCAGCAGCCAGAGGAACAATGCCACACGCTGTGACCACTGTAAAGAGCCACTGCAGCAGCAGCACGGAGACCTTTTGACCTCAATCTGCTAGGACCCCAAGGTCGTGGGAAGCACGGACTGCTGCTGGGGCTGCCGGTTGATTCTATTCCTTCTAGTGCTGCAGCTGAATCAGAGACCATACGGAAGCTGTTGCAATGTTGCTGGAGCTTTTGATGTTGCGCTTGCATCTGCTGCTGCTGCAGCTCCTGCTGCTCGACACAGGTCACGCCTCAACCACGGGCCCCTCAGCCAGCGGCTGGGGCCTATTCGCCAGAGCCCTAGAAGGCTCTAAACGCTCCCTTCAAAACGCAATTAAAGCCAAGTTACAGCTGTTGCTGATGCAGCTGCTGCTGCTCCTGCGCTTCAGCGGCAGCGGGACCCCGAGCATTGTCGGCTGCGGCTGCGACAGCAGCAGCACCACCAACTGCCGCTGATGCCGCTGACATTTCAGCTCAGCGCTGCAGAACAGCTCGCTACTGCTGACTGCCTTTGTGTAGTTTTTGCTGCCGTACTAAAGACTTCTCCTCTACGCGTTATAGCTGCCACAGGTCTTACTGCAGCTACTGAGCCTGCGTAGGATGCTCCCGCTGGGGAGACGCATTAGCAGGCGCCGCATTGCTGCTCGGGACTTGAGTGAGGTGTGCAAACGAGGCTGAACATTATGCAAGGGACCTGCTGCTCGTACCCGCCGGCAGCAGCACCCGCAAGAGCTGGCCCCCAGCCCGGGGCACAGCACCAACAACGGCAGCGGCAGCTGCTTGTGCAGCTGTTCCGCCGGCCGCAGCAGCATTTCCTGCAAATTTGTCGCGGCTCTTGCAGCAGTTGAACCTGCAGCACAATAATGCATGCGCCAGAAGGGCCGCTGCTGCCCACACACTATGGCGTTGCTGCTGCAACGGAATCGTCTCCAGCAGCAGGATCACCAGCAGCAGAAGCGTTGCCAGCTACAGTTTCTCTGGAACAATTGCAGCAGCTTTTGCAGGATGTGTGGGCAGCGGAGGCCCAGGCGAAGCAGCAAGTGCTGCAGCTGCTGCAGCAGGGTGAGGAGCGTGTGCGCGGCTTTCAGGTGTCTCTGCAGCAGCAGCAACAACAGTCGCAAATGCTCTGCACTAGGCTGCTGCTGCTTCAGCAGCAACTCATGGGGAAAGACCCCAAGAGAGAGTCCCTCGCGTTCAGACTGCAGCGGCGGGAGCAGCAGCAACTGCGGCTGCAGCAGCAGCTACGGGTAATACACGACGCACAGACGTGCCTGCTGCAGGTACAGCGGGTGCAGCAGCACCTAGCAGCCTGTTTAGAGCTTCTGCAGCAGCAGGAACTGCTCGGAGCTGCTGCTGAGCTGCAGCAGTGCGCGCTGAGACTGCTGCTGCCGCTGCTGGCTGCCACACAGGGACCCCAGCGGCCGCCGGCCATCTCTCAGCTCCAGCAGCAGTTCGATGAGGTGTACATACATCTTGTCAAGGCCCTAGACCTGCGCCTGCAGCAGCACATAGAGGTGTCTCAGCAGCAGTTCAGGGTCACTCCCCTCTTGGACAGCTGCAGCAGCACCTGTACCAGTGAGGAAGCAGCAAGTGACGCAGCAGCAGCTGCTGCTGCTGACAACTCTGCAGCCCGAGATGGCGCGAATGCAGCAGCAGCAGCAGCAGCAGAAGGAAATGGTACAGCAACAACCGCAGCAAAAGCGGTGTTGCGTTTGAGAGATGTATGGGAAGCCTTCGGGCGTCTGGGCCTGCTGCGCCGCCGGCTATATAGACTCACACAGAGCATTTGCAGCAGCACGCTTCAGCCTTTGTTTGCTGCTGTTGCTGCGGCCAAAGGCAGCAAACAGAAGCTAATTTTTGGAGCTTCCCGAGATGAACGAGGGGGCCACGGGGCACCCTCTGTGACTTGGGGTTGGGTTGCTGCTGCTGTGGAGGACACTGCAGCAGCAGAAGTAGAAGCAAAAGAAGTTGCTGAAAAAACACCACAAGGGCTGCTTCCAGTGCTGGAGTCTCTACTGCATTTTGTGTGGAGCCACGCAGCAGATAAGCAGCAGGAGTGCATGCGCACTTGGGCCGCGCTGATCTGGAAGGATCTGGAGCAGCCGCTGCTGCAGCTGCTCTTGAAGACTTCCAGTGATCAGCAGGAGCCCCTGCGGCTACACCTACGAGCAGCAGCCGTAGCAGCCCCCAGAGGAGCAGAAAGAGCTGTTTTACCATTCCTCACCAGTGCGGCTTCTGCTGCTGGGATTGTGCAGATGGAACAGCTCCTAATGCTGCATGGACTGCAGCAGCAGCAGCCCAATAGACGGGCAGCTCGAATGGCAGCAAAGTGGCTGCACGATGTGTACATACAGCGCAGCATCGAACTGCTTGCAGGAGCACGGCATCTGCTGCAGCAGGCAGCAACTGCAGGGCTTGCTGCTGGTGAGCAGGACACAGTTCTGGCCACAGAAAACAACATCCCCGGCAGCCTCCGTAACCTGCTGCTGTTGCGGTCAGCTGCGGGACCGCAGCAGCAAGAGCAGAAGCAGCAGCGCTTGCAACTGCTGCAGTGCATTGCCGAGGAGACAGATGCTTCCCTAGTGCAGCTGGCCCCCCTGAGGATCACCCGCCAGAGTTGGCTGCTGCTGCAGCAGATGCACGGCCTGCTGCGGGCAGCAGCAGCTGCTGCAGCGCGTTGCAGCTGCAACGGCAAATCCAGCGCGGTGCCCTGTTGGTGCAGCAGTAACCGAGGCCGTCCCGGTGGCTGCTGCACCAGCAGCAGCTGCTGCTGCGGCCGCGTTGCAGCACGTGCTGAGGTTGCTGCTATCCTCTCAATAAGCGACCTGTTTTGCCTGCTGAGGTCCCTGGGACCTGTAACTAGCCCTGCGGCGGCAGAAACTGCAGCACCTGCAGCAACAACAGTCAATGTAGGTGCCCTCGCATTGAGGTGGACAGACACTGAGGTAATTTCGCGTTGGCTGTTGCGGATGCCCCTGCTGTTTGCTGCTTTGGCCGCAGAAAAAGGCGGAGGGGTACGCAGCGGCTGCATATGCAGCAGCAGCAGCAAGTGCTGCGACTGTCCTGCTGCCGCAGCACGCCGCGCATTTTCCTTTCTGGAAGACTGCCTACCCTTATTTGACTTTGATGCATTAGCTGCAGCAGCGCCTACCAGCAGAGTAGCTCAAGCAGCGGGAGGCGCTGTTGCTGCGTTAACCGCAACAACACCAGCAGTGCAGCAGCACAAAGAGGCGCCCTTTCGGCAGCAGCTGGCGGAGATCAGCGTGGCGCTGAAACGGCAGCAAGAGGAGACGTATTTTGTCATGGTGAAGGGGCTGCAGCAGGAGTTGCAGCAAGCTTCAAGAGAGCTGCACGAACTTCTGACAGCAGCAGCTACCAGCAGTGGCAGCAGCAGCAGCCTTGAAATTCATATGGAAGCTGCTGCAGGGGTTCTCACCCGGCAACTTCACTCTGCAGCGCTGGAGCTCCTGCGTGTGCTACCTATTCAGGTGCGTCATAAATCCAAAACCCTACTTCTGCTAAACCCGTCTTCCTATCTCTGCCTTTCTCTGAGGATCCATGTGTGTTTCTTCCACTCGGCGTTCATCCGACTGTGGCTCCTAGGCTTCTATCCATAAACACTATTGGTTGTGAGTCCTGGGTTTGTTTGAGTCAATCGAAACTGCTTGTTTACCTTCTTATGGTCAAGTCATAAACTCAGGTCCTGCAGCAAGGCTGCACACCTGTAGCCAAAGCCTTCTTTTTGCTGCAGCAAAACAGGCAGCGGTGCCACAAACTAGAGGTCGCATGCTGTCAGAGTCAAAAGAATTTGCCACGCCATCTGCTCCTGCTACTGCTATTGCTGCTGCTGCAGGTGTACGCGGAGTTAGTCGGTCTGGCAGCAGACTGCTTGATAGACAGCGTGCTACGAGCCGTGCTGGCTGCAGCATTGGCTGCAGCACCGGGCATCAGTACTCCCGAAGCAGCAGCTGTTGTGGCTGGAAACAGCACAAGCAGAGCAGCAGCGCAGCGCGTGGGACCTCTCTGCTGCAGACTGCTGCAGCATGTCTGCACCCAGGTGAAGGCCACGTTGCTGCTGCACGTACAGCATCAGCAGCTGAGGCCGGAGGCGGAAGTATTTCCTGATACTGCTTTTGCAATGGACGAGGTGGCTTGTCTCTTAGCGCAAGATGGGGCCCCAAACGGTTCAGACAACGGCAGGCAGCAGCAACAGCAGCAGCAGCAGGCAAAGCAGCAACAGGGTGGTCCGCTTCTCACGGAACAGCTTGCACCGCTCTTGCGGGTCGCTGCTGCTCTTCAGAAAGTACTTGAGGCGGATGTGCTGCTGCTGTTGCAGTTGGCAACAACTTATCCACAGCTGCTGCAGCAAACATTTCGACCGGTAGAGCAACGTCTCGCATTGCTCTCTCTCAACCCCTTTATTGGGAGCGCTCCCCTAGGGGCCCGCAAGGAGGTCTTCTGTGGTTTCACAGGTGCTACTTGAGGCCCCCTACGAGGGTGCCTATAAGGGTCTTCTTGGGTGCCACCAAGGCTTGGAGGGACCTAGGATAGGCTGCGCTTGGAACCGGCTTAAGGGCCGTTGCTCTCCTGACGCTCCCCAGAAGGGCTCCCTTCACCTGTCATTTCGAGCCTTGGGGTTCATTCAGGAGATGCCCAGCCGCCACTTTGTTTTGTAGTTGATTTTCAAGCGGCCTTTGACGGAGTGTTTGGGGCCGCTGGCTGTTGGAATGTGCGTTGACTCTCGTGCATGCAGTGCGATAAGAACAGACCCCCACTGACTGTGCGGGGCTCTTTTGAGTCTAAGTATGCAGCAAATCTCAGAATAAAGAATTCCGAGCTTGTGTAGACTATGCTGAGAGTTCAGGGTGGAGGGCTTGAGTCCTCGCCTTTTCCAAGAATTCACAATCATCCACAGCTACAAGGACAACACCACCAAGTATATGATTTGCCTTCAGTACTGCCGCTGCTGCCTCGAGGGCTCAAAGCTTAGGGCTTGGCTTGTGCCCTACACAGTCGCTCATCTGAGGCCCGTATGAACTTCAGGATGTCTCCGCGAGCTCCTTTGTTCCAGCTGAGAGGCCCGCCATCAGTCTGTGCCATTAGGCGGCCATTGATGAAACTTAAAGAGACCTGAAAAGATAACGTGCCGCGTTAACTCACGCTTTGGGCCGTATCTTCATGCAGTTAGCTGGAACTGCAGAAGGCGAAAAGGCAAGCACCAAGCCGTAGCGGCTGTTGCCGCTGGGGCTGCTCGCTGAAATATCGGTGCCCCATTTCGAGGCGTGTAGGAAGAAAATAAAAAGTGACAGACGTACATATAGAGAAGGCAAATAGACAGAAGTGTGTATATTCATGGAATCTGCCTATATAGGGATGTTTTTTCATATAAACCGTCCTGAGGTGTATAGGTGTGTAGCAAGCATGTAATGACAATCAACGAAGTAGGTGACTATGCGGTCAGCGCCCTTCTACCAACCTGTGTGTCTCCGTAGAAGTAGACCCCTTCATTAACTTTAGTCCAGCGCTGAAACCCCGCGTTGTTGTTATGCACCTCTGCCAAGGCAGCATCAAGAGGCCCCCAAGCGGTCCGCGGGTGGTCTCCCCCGCAGACACAGCCAGGGGGCCCACCTGAAAAACGACACAGAGATCACAAGTGACTGTGTCTTCATACTGCCTTAAGCGAATATCTTGTATGTATGTATTCATGGGAGCTGCCTATGTAGGAATGTTTTTTCATATAGGCCGTGCAGAGGTGTGTCGGTATGTAGGATCTTGTGCAAGCATCTGCATACGAATCTGCCTGACATAAACTTCGCGGGCCAACGAGCAGAGGTCACAAAGTTGATCAGGACATACGAGAACCAAGGGGGGAACAGAACACAGACAGGGCCAAGGTCTTACCCATTGCTGCTCCGCAGTCTGCTGTGCTCTGCACGTAGGGTTCCCTGGGAACGGTTTGACGCCTCCTCGTGGCTCCTGAAGTCCATGGATATCCTGGAGGCTTCCCTCCCCCTATGGCTACTCTTTCAAGCTGTTGCTTTTCCAGAAGCAGCAAGTTGATCTCCCGCCTCTGCTCCTGCAGCAGCTGCTGCAGCTGCTGTTGCTGCTCCCGGGTTCCGCGAGAGCTAAAGGGACTTTTCCCGGCCCCCTCTATGGTTTCGTTTAACGGCCCATGCACGCTATCTTGTGCGAAGCCCCGAACCTGTGCAGCTTCCTCTCTTAGAGTGCCACCCAAGCGAGGTAGCTTGTGCGTCGCCTCAGCCGAAGCCGCTTCGCCAAGAGAACCCTTCAATGTTACCTGTGAGGGCCCACAATGCTGCTCGTGCGGCCCCACACCATGTGAAAGCCACTGTGAGGGCCTTTGTTGGAGCGGTTGCAGCGGCTCCTGTGAAGGTTTGTGGGGGAATTTTTGTTGGTTGGTCCTTATGCGTTGTGTGGGTGTCGAGGGTCTGTATGCGTCTGCGTCTTTGTCCTTTTCCCTTTTCGTTACGCTTGTAGCCTTCAAAGGTTTCTTAGATTGATTGAGAGCCCTTAGGTGCTCTCTAAGAGACTGTTCGCGCAGGCGCTGCGATTCTGTAGACCGCAGCAAACGCGGCGGACAAGTAGAGACACCCGAAGTTCCAGAGCCGCCCTGGGTAAGTGCAGCACCCTTAGCTACGACAGCAGCAAGACCACCTGCTACTGCAACAGCATCGCCAGAGGGACCGTACTGTTTTCTGTCGCCACTAGGGTGTGGCCGCTCATCAGACAGTCGCTGTGAACTGCAGGCGTGAGGGGCTCTAGACCCCTTGCACTCCCTTTGTGGGGACCCCCTAGAGGCTCCGCCTCTCAGCCGGCCCCCGCTTAGGGAGCCTTCCTTCACCATGTGTCTCGTACCATGTGTTTCATCTGAGCCGCCCATTTTGTTGGTGCTCTCTGCTGAAGGGAGCCTGGTGGAATTTGCTGAGTCCCTCTCCGTTTCAGGGGGACCACTAGGGGCAGCAAAGTGGTCCCCTGGGGGCTGGATTTCCGTAGGGAGAGCTATGGGGCTGCTAGAGCCACAGCAGCACCATCGCGGAGCCAGCAAGGGATCCTTGTATTCTTGCTGCTGCAACTGCTGCAGATCCTCCTGCAGCTGTTGCTGCCGCTGCTGCTGGTGCAGTTGCTGCTGCGCCTGCTGCAACTTCGGTGCCATACTTCCCTCGGCAACGCGGTGTATAAGGGTGGGCCTGGCAAGCTGGGGCAGCTGATGCAGATGTTGCTGGTGCTTCTGTTCGAGCTGCTGCTGCTGCTGCAGTTGCTGCTGCTGTAGTGCTTCTTGCGACTCTTCAAGCTGCTGCCTCTGGTGGTCCAAAATTTGCTGCTGCAATTCGCGCTGCTGCTGCAGCTGGCGCTGCAGCGCTTGATGCTGGTGCAGCAGCTGCACTCCCTGAACCCTGAGGGAGGCTTGCATGTCGGCTTGCTGCTGCAGAAGCTGCTGTTGATGCTGCTGTTGCTGCTGCTGCTTCCGTGCCAATTCCCCTTCTTGGCGTTGTAGGCGAGCGTGGAGGTCAGCCAGCCGCTGCTTCTGCTGCTGCTGCCGGGCCTGCTCAGCTGCAAACTCCTCTTGAGCCTTCTGAAAGGCTTGCTGCTGCTGCTTGAACCACTGCTGCTGTTTCTGCTGCTCCTCCGCTGCTGCTTGCTGCTGTTGTTGTTGCTTCTGCACCTCTTCCTGCTGCTGCTGCAGTAGCAGCAATTTCTTTTCTGCTTCCCGCTGTTTTGCCTCTACCTGCTCTCGCTGCCTCGCTAGTTCCTGTTTTTGTTGCTCTATAAGCAGTAGCAGCTGATTATGCTGCTGCTGCTGCCGCTGTAGCTGCTGTAACTGCTGCGCCAACTGCCTCCGCTGTTGCTGCTCTGACGCCCCCTCAAATAGCGCTAAGAGGGCCTCCTTATCCGCTAGTTGCTGTTCTACAGCATGCAGTTCTGCTGCCAGGAGCTGTTGCTGCTTCATATCTTTGTCTGTGGCCGTGGGGTGCCTCTGTTCTTGCTGCTGTTGCTGTTGCTGTTGCTGCTGCTCTCGCTGGAACTCCTCATCCTCTTGTTGTTTTGCCTGATTCTGATCTTTCTGCGGCTCTTCGTGTTCTTGGCACATGTGCTGCAGATCCTGCCTCTGCCGCTGCTGCGGTTGCTTATATTGCTGCTGCTCTTGCTGCAAGTGCTGCTGTCGCTGCTCCTGCTCTTGCTTTGGCAGCTGCTCCTGTCCTTGACTCTGCTGCCGCATGCATGTGTGACAGCCAACCTGCAACAATTTCGGCTTTTTCACAGAGACTTTTGGACAGAGATTAGGCGCTTGAATTGCTAGGTGCTCCTGCTGTTGCTGCTGCTGTTCTTGTTGCTGTCGCTGAATAATTGTCCAGCGCATTGAATATGGCTGCTGCTGCAGCTGCACATGTTCGTGGAAAGTGGTTCGCTGCCCGGATAGGGGCGGAGGAGCGCCAGAGTTACTTTTGAGCTCTTCGCCCGTTGCTTTTGCTGCTGCAACTGCATCTGCTGCTGCTGCTGCAGCTGGGGCTTGTGGAAGGGTTTCAGACGTAATATTCCCCCCTGTCGCCCCACGTGGCCTCAAATGACATGCAGAAGACTTTGAAGTTTGCATGCAGCCGGAAATCGTCCCAGGAAAGCACAGAATCTGCGTTTTGCTGCTGTTGTCCGCTGGGGCTGGCACCAGCTGATATTTTCTGCTAACGCAGCGGCTCAGCGCTGCGATTTCTTTTCCGCTGCATGGGCTTATGTTATCAAAGTGCGAAAGCATAGCACATAGATCACGCTGCTGCTGGTGCTGTTCCTGGCGGTGCTGCTGCTCCTTCGTGCGCAAGAGTTGCTGCCCAGGGGTGGAGGGGGTCAGTTCCACCGGTCCCTGCAGCATGAAAGGGGATGGCCCGAGAGGAAAGGCACCTTGCAAGTCCGCTGCATCAGGTTGGGCTCTGTATCCTGTGGCTAGCCGCAGCACGGGGGCCCCTAGTCCTGGGGCCCTACAAGGAGGCCCCGCTGGAGAGGCCTTTTTGTCGTGTCGCAGCACCACAGGCGGCTGGAGGGCAGGGAAAATCATGAATGCAGCCTTTGAATATCAGTCCCTGTGCGCATACTGCAAACCGTATGCCCTTGTTTCTGCCGCCGGTCCCGCGGCCGTTCTGCTTAAGTGGACTGCCGCTAGCCCTACTTGACCAGAAGCAGAAGAAAGGCAAAAGCAGCAAAACAGATACATTAAAAAATGAATTTAAAGGCTAAAAATAAAGGAACAAAAACTTGGGAAGATGCGAGCGTGTATCTCTACCTTCTTGTCTCTCGGTATGGCGGCCTTCGGGCCTGGTCATCTGGAAGGCCCACTGCTCGTCGGGCTCCGCCCGTTACTGCTTTCTTCGGTCATTTGACACTAAAACTACCTTTAAACGTGTCCTTTGCTAATTTTAAAGAGATTTCAGCTTAGTTTTTATACGTAGGGGCTTGGCGTCGTGGTTTTGCGTACACTCTTCTGGATTTACGTTACAGCTGAGACACTCCGTCGGCAGCAGCCCCGAAACGAAGTGATGTCACTCCAGGGTTTTAGTGTTTTCCTATTCGGGTGTACGAAATAGCAAGTGTTTAGAGTAAATAAATATATATTTTATTACTTATGCTACATTTTAACCTTAGAAGAGGAGAAACCGGTGAAACAAAGCAACAAACACTCATATACAATCAAATAACCAACGCTGCACACCACCAGATGCTGTCCTACATCTACACAAATACCCACTCCCATTGCAACTCTTTCCCTCAGCACATACACCAAAGGACCACTTGAGTGTCCTCGAGGCTCGTAAGACCGGCAAGCTAAGGAGAGCTTCCCTCCGCTTCAGCAGGCTCTCCAGGGCCCCCTACTGTACGCTAGGCTATACTAAGTGGTTTCTGCTGAACTACACGGAGGGTCTTGACGGGACCCTATAAAGGGTTCCACAGCTCACCATGAGCAGCAGCTCTGCTCGCCTAGTTGGTTCCCTCCTCGACTCTTTGGACGCGCCTGGAGTTGTTCCAGAAGTATACGAGCTAAACCCTGGGACTTAAAATCTAAAATTTCACCTGCGGCCTATAAACATAGAACCACTAAGGCAACCACAGGCAGCACTTGTACCCGTAAACTTCGATTATTCCAATACACTTCTAATACCTCTGTACTACGGGCTCGGAGCATTCGACCTAACCTATGCTTCAAAACGGAGGCCTCTTCTTGCTCCTCCGTTTCAGGAGTCCCCCTGGAAACAGACCAGCAGCTCCAGGGAGGGCATGAAGTGGGAGGCATCTATGAGTGGTCGCGGTGAGGGAGCCACGCTATTGTGACATACAGTTTAGGCTCTACGACTTTGGGACTAATGATCCGACACGTTTGCAACAAGCGGCGCTGTGAGGCAGAGCAAAGAACCCATTTGATGTGAATATCAAGTATTCAGCTGCAGCAAAAAAGTTAATGACAGTTCGTGTGTTTGTCTTCATTTGTTTGTCATCGTCTCTCCTCTGCCATCCCCGTGATTTCCTGATAGAAAGTTACAGCTCTCCCAAGGATTCTGCTGAGGTCAGACACAAGCGATAAAATAAAAGGAAAAATACTTTGTCATTATGTGTGTGTCGGCCGCCGCTGTCTGCCATTGCCTTGCTCTTCCTGGCCGTTCCCTGCAATGCTTCGTGAATGCGCGTTGCCGCCACTGCCGTCTGTTGTCCTTGCTGCTGCATTTTATTTTCTTTTGCTGCTGGTCGTATTTGCTTTTGCAGTTTTCCGTTGAGGAGCTGCTACAAACTCTTTCCAAGGACAGTACCCCGCAGCAGTGCGGGCTCCACGCTCTGCTTCTCGGGAACCTATCAGCTAGCTAATATAACTCTCACAACAAACAGCTTGCTAAAAAAGCCCCCCTCGCAACAAATTGCAATTTTCTCACTGATAGCTTTGGAGTCCTTTCAATTGCTTGTGCTTTGGCGTATCCCTTAAGCTGCGCATCGTTCACAACACGCTCCGATATCTGTTTAATGATAACTCAGCGGGACGCCTAGATCGGAGCAGACCCCTCAAGATGTCATCAACAGCTACAAGAGCAACAGCAGCAGCAAGCAGAGCAACGGCGTGACCAGCCAATTGCTGTCCATCAGCGGACCAGCTCCGCATGCGCTGCACAACTCTCTTCAGTCTGCGGGTGCGTTCCACGGCGTAGGTTGCAGGGCTTAGGTTTGCTGATAAGCACTTAAGCCTTTTGAGTTGGAAGCACAAAGAAGCACAGTGGTGCTGCTGCAATGTGGCTCTTGCATAAGAGGCTATCAATGCTGTAGGCGAGCTCACCGGCGGCTTACTGGCTGCCTGGCCAGAGGTCGAGCGAAAGTTACTGCAGGTGAAATTATTGCATGCGACTCCATGCTTAGAGAGCTCCGTAGCTAAGTGGTTATTAAATAGATAGCTAGCTCGTAGTTAATATATTGTGCATAAATTTGTTTAGGGCGGGAGACGGCAAATGAGCTGAAAGTACCAGAGACAGTAAGAAATGCAAGTTTTAAGAACTAGAGATGAAAGCTCATAGGGCAGAGCAAACATCAATGCCGTACCATTCACACCTGCCAGGAGCCGCAGCTCTAGCATGAAAATCACTAGCATGAAGCAACCAACTTCCCAAATAATCGAGCATTTGCCTTTTCCTTTGCTTTCGTTGACCTCTAATTGTTCGCGTATGCACTGCTGCTGACTGCTGCCGACTTATTTGCCCCTCTGTGTATCGCCCACCTGTCTGTCTCTAAAATTATTGCTCCTTCGTCACATGCAGACAGCAGGGGCTGCCTGGGACATTGAGGGCCTGCTAGGCCTCAGGGGTACGCTGCAACAACTCCCAAGCAACAGCAGTCCCACTAACAGCGAGAAGGTAGCCAAGGGGGCAGTAGATTCTGCCAATAGAGGAGCAGCAACACCCCCTGCAGCAACAGCAGCTGCAACAACAGCAGCAACAGCAGTCGCAACTGCTGCAGAGCCCGCAGAAGCAGCAGAAGGGATTCATCAAAAAGCTCGACAGGACAATGCTGAAGTAAGGCAGTGATGGGCCATTGTGGCTTCTGCCGCTGCTTCGTTTAGTCCATTTTATTTGGTGAAATTCCTTTTGCACTGCTTTATTATTGTGTGCTCTGTTCGTTATAACTTTCCCGGTGTTTTGTTTATTTGTATTGGACGCGGCTACTTTTTGTCTGTGTGCTTCTGGCGTAATTTCTTTCTCCATTTCCGCGCACCCCCACAGTTTTATGTCTTTTGCTTTCCTCTGTTGGTTCGCTGAAGTCAGTCACATTGATTTTTCTGCGCGCGAATCTGTAATTTTTATCAAAGCAGTGCTTAGTGCTTTCGTCCTTCTCCCAACACGAAAATAACTGTTTGCCATTTGTCTCTTACCAATTTTTTTTCTCATGTAGTACGCTACAGTCGACACAACAGTGATTTGTTCTTTCTACGTAATTTCTCCATTTGGAGTTCTTCCATCCTTGAAAAACGATTCTCGTTTTTGCTTCTACTTTAATTTTTTCGATGGCAAAACAACCACCTTTGGCTTCATCTCATTTTTCATTTTGTTTTCATGCATTTTTCTTTCAGAGCTTGGCTGAGGCAAACATTCGCGCCGCCCAGCTCGAGTGGGCAAAAATGGACAATATAACATCTTGATCACTTCGAAGTTACAGCAATGTTCTTATTCACCACCGCTCTAGCTCCCGGAGCCTCCCTTCTCCACTCATGGCTCTGTCTGATTGTATCTTAATCTTTGGCTATGTAGTCATCTCTGTTTGCGTTTGTCTATGTGTCTGTCCGATCCTGAAATTCAAATCCTTCCATCCTTTTCGTCGGCTATTTGTCTCTCTATCGTTTTTGTGGCTGTCAGTGTTAACTGTCCTATGCATCATCCTCGCCGTCTTTTTGTGGCTCATTTGTGTTTGCTTATACGTGTAACTCTACACAGTGCGCCATCATATGGGCAAAAGCTGTTAAAAATTCGCACGTATGCAACGCCGTTTGTAACTCTGGGGCTTCTGCCTATGACTTGAGTTCTCCTTCATGCCGCAGGGCTGAGCAACAGAAGCTCAAGCATGAGCTGCTGCTACTGCGACGGCGGCAGCAGGTGGCAGCTTCTGCACTGCGGGCGCAGCACGATGCGAAAGTGGCAGCGGCAAAAGCAGCGTGGGAAGCAGAAAGGCGAAAGCTGGTTTACAAAAATCAGACCTTGCAAGCTACAGTTGATCAGTCTGTCCTAATGCTTTCTGGATTATCGGCTGCTTCATAGTTGTTTGGTTGTTTATTTGGCAATACCATCAAAGCGGCTCTTATGCTCAACCAGCAAAAGTTTAGTGTCTTCAGTTTGTTACCGGCTTTGGCTGATTCCTAATTTGCTGTAATTTTACAGCGCAGTTCGGCTGTTGCTACTCTCACAGCGGTTTGTACTTTCGTCGGTGCCGCTTTAACCCAATAATTTTAGCCGCTGTGCCCAACTGTAGCAATTTCATGCTCTCGTTTGTCGCTGCTGTTCGCTGCTTTTGCTCTGCCCGCTCTTTCCCACTTTTCCAGGACCCTGGCATGCTACGAAGAAGACGTACGCCTTCTGGGTGAAGTGAGAGGATCTGTGCTGCAAGCACAGGAGCAGCAGCAACAAGAGCAGCAAAAATTGTTGCAGCAGCAGTTGCAGCACGCGCTGCAGGCTGAAAGAGACCACTGGTCAGCCAGGCTCAAAGCGATCCAAGATGAATGGAGTAGAAAACTCGAAGATGAAAGGAGACAAGCACAAACGAGGTTGCATCAGGCACAGCAAAACAGAGTACAGTTCAACATTAAGGAAATGGAATGAAAACAAACCAAAAGCCATATAAATATATATACAGATAACCAAAGATAAAAGATTTAGCGGAGTATCTGCAGCTAGGGGTGCAAGACTAACGCACACTGCTTGAAGCATCAGCTTTTAGGTTCAAAGCATAAGTGTTTGCGCTGTAAACCTGGGCGACCTCGAACTGTGTTGCAGGATGGTCCTGCATGGCATGAGCTGCACGAGCTGGTGGTGGAGTCAAGACGCCATTCCCAGGAATTTAAGATGTTGCTGCTGTCATTACAACAGCAACAGCAGCAACAGAAGGAACCTGGGAAGGACAAACCATGTGGGGTAAGCAGAGCAAGTCCTTACAGCTCGAGCTCAGCTATGATTTCGCTCCAGTGGAATCTCCGCTGGTGCCAACGTAGCTGCTCCTGCAGCTTTGGTTTAAAGGAGTCATGTGGCTTCTTACGCTTAGCTAGGGCAGATGCTTCAATGGCAACATGTTAGCGGCAGCAACTCGGTGTGACGCATGTAGCGCGTCCTGCTGGTGCAGTGGCAAGTGCGTTGCCTGTCGTTTACCAGGCTTGCGGGGGAGCAGTAAATATGGAGGACGCCGTTGTAGCCCTGCAGGAACAGCAGCAAGCGCTGCAAGAACAGCAGCAAGCGCTGCTGCTGCTTGCCAAGGAAACGGCTAAGCAGCGGGAGGAAACAGAACACCGCACACGGACGATTTCAGCCCGGTGGGCGTAATTGATATCATTGACACGCTATAATTTAGAACCCATGCAAATAGTTGATGCGAATCCTTATTTTTTTTCAAACCAAATGCCGACGGCAAATTGGTAAACGCACTTCTTGCATCTTGGTTTGTGTGTCCCCCTGCGCATCAGGCTTGCTGCAGAATCGCTTCAGCTCCAGAGCCTCCACCGTTCTCTGCTTGCAAGCAGGCAACAGCAGCAGCAGCTGCAGCAGCAGCATCAACAACAGCTGCAGCAGCAGCATGATATTCTTGAGCAGCAACTGCAGGCCCTGGTTCAGCGGCAGTTGCAGGCAGAGAACGAAGCTGCCACTAGGCAACTGGGGCTTGAACAGGCAAGCATGCACTCTGAACCCTAGAAAACTAAAAGCGCAGAGCTAGAAAACTGCTTCATGAATGCATACAGCGATAAATCTTGGAAAAAGGGATATAGAGACGGTTCCCACAGCTAGCTTATACTATTTGAAATATATACATAGGGAATTGATCACAAGGTATGCCATCGTTCGTTTTCACTTTCATTAACAGCGAGAAAGAGAAATAGAAAGAAGAGAGGGACGCCTCGCGGGAGCCGCAGCGCTGCAGGAGAAACAACACAAAGCGCGACGCGAGTATCTGCAGACTGCTGAGGCGCATCTGCTCAAGCTGCAAAGCGAATTGCAAAAAGAAAGGTATAGTGCTGTGATATATGGTCGATCAACATAAAAGGGACTGTTGTAACGCCGTCCGTGAATACACTGCAGCGCGCTGTTGTGAACGCATTAAAAGTAGTAGATGTTTCACACTATATCTAGCGCGTGTAGTTAGTGATTTGGGGGGTTCCCATCTGGGGTCTGCGCGCTCAGGCAAGAGTTGACAGAAACTGCTTTAGCCCTTGAAGAGAAGCGGCGGGCAATGCGGCACTGCTATGAAGAAATGGAAACGCAACGGCTGGCTATGGAGGGGCGTGCTGCAGCAGCAGCAGCAGAAGCCCAGTCAGCAGCAGCAGCTGCTGCTGAAGCACGCACATTGCAGCAAGAAGGCATCAAGGCCAAAGAAGCACTCTATCAACTTCATCGCCAAGCAAAAGATGTACATTGAGAAAGCCATTGCTGCTCAATCATCATGAAGTTGCAATTCAAATTGCAAATTAAGTACTATGGGATGTTGCGGGTGGCGGAAATGGTGGCAACGATTCTGTTCCCAGGGACTTTGGCTTTAGCAGACGTTATGATAGTCTTGATTGATATGTAGTACTTCAAATAGCACATAACGTTTCGCAAACTCTTAGTTGAACCGGTGGGAGACTAAAAGGAAATTAACGGCTACGTGGATTAACCCGGGATGTGTTCGATGCGCCAGGCAAAGAAGAAGCAGCATGAGCAGCAGGAAGTGATCAATACTCTTGTAAAAGAAGTAGAGAGCAGCAGATTGGAATTGCTGCGGCTTCAGCAACAATCTGGCCATTTGTACGTACGACACAGCACTCACACGTTATTACCCTGCAGCAGCCTGTGCTCTACTGCTCCGGGAGCAGAGCAGAAGTTGCGCAGACTTTTCACTCCCGCAAGTAGCACGCAGGCTCTCATGGATTGCAATCAGCACAGCAGTTGTCAGACCAGCAGAAGCTGCCACCCCTTCCGTGAATCATTAGAAGGCTCCCCAACCAGAAGAGGTCGCAATCAGCCTTCAAAGCTGTTCCTGACGCAACAGTACTTTCGCAACGATGGTGAGGTGATGTCAGTTTATTTTGCGGTAAAACGTGTAAGTAACTGTGCCGCCAACAAAAGCAGTAGGAACAGCCGTGATAAAAGCTGCAAGGAAACGTGGCGACTCGACCGGGGCTGCATGCCGGCGAGAAAGTCCTTAGCAAGTTGCGTACAGTGGAAGAAACCAGCAGCCAAGAAAAGCAGCAGCTGCTGCAGCAACAGCGTTTCATAATTTTTTGATGCCCATTCTATTGTGGTATTTCAGGAAGCCTCCACGAAGCCTTCCAGTCGCTGTCGAGGACGAGTGCAATTTTAACACAGAGGACAGAGGCAGCTCACGAACGTTTGTGGAATCTCCGGCGTTCTTTTTCAGAGTAAGAGTGGTAACATGCAATAAACGCGACCAACTCGAATACACATTTCCAAGAGGCTCAACTGATATACTTACTGAATCTGCAAGATTTAAGCAGTCAAACTTAGTTATTTGACGGGAAACACATAAGACAGTGCTGAGCCCGGAAACTCGAATATTCCGCTGCATTTATTAAGCTTGGTGAGCAAGATCATCGCACTTGAATGAGCGATGAACTGCTACTGCAGACACCAGCAGCGCCACCAGAGTTTGAACGCGTTCCATGGCCGTCTGTCCCATTCCACAAGTATCCCTTTTACTCAGCAGGCCACGCTCCCCCTCACTCACCAGCAGTCAGAACAGCGAGAGCAAGCGAAGTCGCGTGATGCCTTCATACCCGAAGAGCAAGATGCCACAGGTGCGCTGAAGCTTCAAGCTAGCCCTAATCATCCGTAATACGTATATGTAGAAGTGGCGCTACAAATTATAACAGTAGAGGACCTTTCATGTGCATTACATGCCGTGAATCCATGTTAAAGCATAATAGTGAAGACATGCATACATGAGATAAAGTTGCAGGCATATGCGTAAAGTATATCCTACGTAGAAAGGAAATCGGTAGTCATAGCTCTAAAGCAGCTGACATACTTCAATAACAGCAAGACGCTGTAGTTGCTGCAAAAGTAGCGCAGTACATGCTACACGAGTCTCACCGAAGGCACCGTGAAGTGCCTCGTGCATAGGCGGCTCTTCTTGGCACTGATGGCAGAGGGCTGTGGGATTAGAAGCTTTGAAGGGTTTCTTGGGAGATCGTGGTTTCACTCTGTGGCAAAGCTACACCTGAAGTAACCGTTTGCTCTGTAGATGACGCAACCCTGCATACTGCGCTGCGAACGAAGTTGCACTAAGACGACTTGAGAAATACAGCATTTTGAACTCCCCGCGATCTCATGCTTTGTTGCTTGCCTAGCGGTTAAACCTACGTCGACGCTCTGTAGGACACACACTGGCAATGCGTAGCGAGTGAAAGTAATCGAGGGGTCGTACTCAGGTACCAATTTTTTTGTATTCCGTAGGAACGGTGGAAGCAACGTGCGCCTCCTTAGCCAGTCTTGATGAGGCTTTTCCGTCCGCTAATCTCAAATGTATCTTTTCGTCACGAGCCACTTGAGATGATGCAGAAGAAGCAGCGATAAAAACAGCCAGTACAAAAACGTCAGCACCAGACGCGGCAAGAGCAAAGAGAGCCGTTGGCCTCTTTATGTCGTTTTGGTGTCATTGAAAGAAACCGCTGCCACGTGACGTTGAAGAGGCCAAGCCTACTGTCCGAATTCATCTTCCAAGGGCTTTACCGCCACTTCGGCACAATCTCGCTCACTTCTATTGACATCCATTTTCCCCCATATTCTCTGCTACACCTCCATCAAACAAGAGGTAGTTTAGTGCTTTGTGGATACAGCTATGTACTGTTTTGTATAAGCATCAAGGAACGCCCTGGCATCGCACGCCTTTATTGGCGCTGATTGCGCTGCCTGCTCCTGCATTACTGCAGTAGGGCTCAGCAGATGCGGTGATAGGGATTATTAACATTGGCGTGTGTGCTATGGGGAATCGACCTAAGAGACTAAGGCTTCATGGGGCCTTTTTGATACTCTGGTGTGGAGGCCAGGAGGGCCTGAATATGGAAAGAGAATATGCTCATGAATCGGAAGGACTACGGGCAGATATACCTGCTCTGCGTAGCAACATACTGAGGAAGACAGGTGCTTCAAATGTCCTGGAGGAAATGATCGCGAAATGATTTCATTTAACTTCAAATAGTATCCTGCACTTATCTGATAGGTAGGACACAATTTAATTCATATAACCATGTAATAGGACAACTACACTATGTACCAAAGAGAAAATCTGCTCTTTGGAAAAAACCAGTTAGAGGAGGAACTCCCAGGAAGCATTCAGGAAGCATTCTCCAACTAGCCCTATGTAGTGTGTCTCATGAAGAAACTGTATTTTTCCTTATCCTGAGTTCTGGCACTAGACAACCACGCAACGTTCGGCTTTTCCTGTCCTCTGTAGTGATTAGCGAACTGAGGACTTGGGTAAGCCATGAGCTCCGCAGCATAGCAAGCACCTAGCTTCAACAACAAGAGAGCTAGCATTCTGCATTTCATTCCCGATGCATTTATAAGGATTGGGCACACGTGTGCCGTACAAAATCAGTTTCAAATGCACCAAGGCTAGTTATTCTATGAAAACGCATCAAACTGTTGCGGAAGCCTATGCACTGTTGCCGCTGCTTGGCGAGGACCTCTGTACTTCATCAGGCCCCGCCTCAACCAGATCAAACCATTCCTGTTGCTTAAAAGTCTGGCTAGGAGCAGCTTCACTCAGTGCAAGTACGCCCAATAATCTCCAAAATATATATACGCGGGAATCATCCTTCTGCTAACGACGCACGAGCTGTACCTGGAGTCTCGGATTGCTGTCACTGCAACACCCCATGACGATTATGAAGGCCATTGCCTTGATTTGCGTGTAAAAGGCTTAAATACGGGAGATCTAGTTGTATCACCCGCAAAGTGTGCTTACAGTTGTTTCTGTCGTTATCTGTCTCTGTTCCTCCGCGGTCTCAAAACTGGTTTCGTCATAGATCCTCCTGTAACACAATGCGCTCCCCAGGAACTAAGAGGCTGCACAACACCTCAGGTGTGCAAACGTCCAAAGCACAAATACAGATTAGTAGCACACAACTCGCTTTTTTTCATGAATCAAGAGCACATGAGGCACGCGGCACTGCACGTCGCAAGGAACACTGTCCAGGCGACACACTGCAAAATCATATGAGCATTTACCAGGTGCGAACGCAGTGGAGCTACCGCGGTGTTGTTGGCTAACGCGCTGTCCCTACAACCCCAGAGAGCAAAATGCAGTTGTCACGTATGCTTTCCTTGTAATCTCCACAGAAACAATATGGCAAGCATTGAAAACACTGCGTCGTAGTTGGGATGCGCGGGACGCATTCCAGTTGTGCCTACACGGAACACGCACCAGGTGCACCACGTACCCTGCCACCGCTTTGCCCCAGCAGTAATTAAACTGCTTGGGTTAACCACGATCACTTAGTACTTAAATAAGTAGCAGCGCCTTGCCGAAATGCTGTCTGGTAACGTTGGAAGGTGCTCATGCAGCTTGGCCCACGGCGACATGAAACTCATAGAAGCCTTCAAAGCAACAGGTCGTGCACAACTTCGTTGACGCTCTCCGTCCACAGCAACCGCATATTGGTTGACAGCAAATTCAGCAGTCAAGGCAGCAGCTCATGAGTACTGTCCTAGTCAACAAATTGTGGCTGCTTTAAAAATGGGATGCCTTGACGTTGCCTCATTCCCATCGAACCTTCAACGGTTGTGTCCATACTGAAGCCAACGGTCTTCCTGAAGCCATGCTAGGGCACACACGAAATTATGGGTTGTGGAGCAGCTCTACACAGCTGTGCACTTTTGTGCTAAGTTGTGAAGCACTTTTGAAGAATGCGAAGCAAAGCTGCCGAAAGCGGCATCAGCGCCTTCCTCAGGTTGCTGGGGCGCCGTGGACGCATGCTTGAGAGCAGTGAGGATAACATCTTCCAGTGCGACGGAGCACTAGCAGGACGTCTCAGCAGTAGCCTCAACGAGCTTATTCGCACGTCTCCTATCGACGCAGCGTCATGGCTGCATAGCTGAAGCACCTGCTCATGCATCGATGCCTCAGCTCCCAGCACAATCGGGTTTCTGTGTTCTGCTGTCTGTGCTTTGTCGCTCGCTGAACGGCCGACTGTTGCACCATGCAGAGCACAGGCCGTGCGCGTGCGACGGAGTGACGCAAGCTGCATTAGTGGTATCTTTGCGTATGAGTCGTGAGGATAACAAGGTCAGCGCCTGCCCGCCACTGCGCCAGTCCTGACACGTTCAAGCCATTTGTGCAGAATGCAGGTGCATAAGCCATTATTGAGCGGTTGCTACGCCCTGCGCCGAAGAACGCCAGCTAAACGCCTCTTTACC